GTGTGGCTGAGATAATGATGCTCAGGTGAATATGTGGTTAGACTAGACAAGACAGAATTAGGAATGAGTGTGTTCGAGAATGGGTAGAAGTAGCACCGATAGAAAATAAGTTGAGAGAAAATCAATTGAGATGGTTTGGTCACATTCAACGGAAACCAATAAAGGCTGTAGGGAAGAGATGCGATGTTGTAACAGTAGATGGGAGTGTTAAGGGACGGGGTAGGCTTAGATTAACGCTAGCTAGCATTGTAAATAGAGATATGGATCTACTTAATTTGACTAACGAAATAGCTTTTGATAGGGCCGCGTGGAGAAGAAAAATTCATGTAGCCGACCCTATTTGATGGGATTTAAGACTTGATTTCGTTTGATATACATTTGCCAAACCCTGCATATTGGTCCAAGTCATTGCTTGAAAGGGCGGAGATTTGCTTCTTTTGTGTAGTCAATGCCATACACTGGCATAATGTTCTGCAGTAGGATCTCTACACCTGCTTGTTACGACCCTATACTTTGTTTTGGTTGCATCCTTTTCTTCTACCCAGCTCAGTGTGTAGGTCTGACCCGGCCACTCGTTATTTTAGCATGAAAACTGTCTTAGAGCACCTTTTATTATTGTAGGTCTGATCTGAAAGTCCTGTGAGAAAGATACTGCTCTGTTTATGTTTTTTTATGTAACTCAGATGTGATCATCACATTACACAGTGGCAATGGGGTGATTATTGGGTACTCCCAAAGTACGGCACGTGGTGTTCCATGATATTATGATTGGTGGAGAATGTGGGGGTATTATGATTTTGTGTTGGGTGATTGAAGAACATGAGGGGAAATAGTGAATGATGATTGATGAAGAAGTATAGACACATGATATTCTTGAAGTACCTAATAATTTTCCGTGGCAGTGATCACAAATAATATTTTTTTAAAACAGTTTGTTACACTGTCAATATAGTGAGAACTAATTTATATTTTTTATGATTCACTTTCATATCATGGAGTGAAAATTTCGTTGATTATTGTTTCCACTTACAGTTATGACAACCACTGAATACTGATATTATGAAAACAGTTTATATCTTTAATGGGTTGTTGATAATATGAACATTGCTAGGATCCGTTAACACATGCAAATATCTTCAACTGCCAAATTTCCATATCCATGAATAAGGAAACCTAAGCTATTACTATACACTAGGTGGGGGGAACATGCCCCCTGTAAAATCTGAGAACATTTATATGTCTATAAGTGCTGGAATTTCAACTATTAGGACTCAACTAGAGTATATATCTTTCAAATACTGAAGTTTATTTTATTAAGGTAAAATAGTATTTACTAGCTAAATATAACAATTTTTATGCATAAAATGAAAGCCTTATGCATAGTGATTATGGGTGAGTTTTTTACACAACTTGAATCGTACACAAAGTTACGGGTTAGGAGTAACCATTTTTCGACACAAATACAAATATGACTAGACTCAATAACACATCAAATTGGTGAGGTCAGTGTAGGGATGGCAATTTGAACCCGGCCTGACGGGGACCCGACCCCCCCGTCCCCGATAAGAATGGTTTTTCCCCGAAAAATACCCCCGTGGGGACGGGGATGGTATTCAAAATTAAATCCCCGGTGACATTCGGGCCGGGGACGGTGATACATATTTCATCCCCGGTCCCGGCCCGGCCCCGGCCCCGCTCCCCGCCCCGGTCATCCCCCGATTTATATATTATATATATATGTTTGGTTTGGTTACAGACTGTGTCTTTGAATATTATATATTATATATATATATATATATATGTTTATATGTTTGTTTATTATTATATATATATATTTATATGTTTGTTTATTATATTATATTATATATATATATATATATATGTTTATTGTTTACAGATCCGTAACTCTCTCTCTTACGCTGTCTTACAGATCCGCTCTCCGCCTCTCGTCGCCTCCCTCTACTCTCTCACTCTCTTCCCTCTACTCTCTCTCTCACTCTCGGCCTGTTCGCAACGTCGATCATCGGTATCCGCGACGTTGATCATCAATCACAGCCACAGCCCATCGCGACGCAGTCACAGCCACACCACAGCCACTGTCGCGACGTCGTCCATCGCCACTCCTTCGTCCAGATACACAGATCTATTTTTTTGATCTGTTATATATATATCTATTATATCTGTTATATATATATATATATGTTAGATCTGTTATATATATATGTGTTAGATCTGATTTTTTTTTTTTTTAGCTCATCAGATTGTTGTTGTTGATGATGTTAGATCTGATTGTTGTTGTTGTTGAAGAAATTTGGAACTGATTTTTTTTTTTCTTTTGGGAACCCCGATCCCCGTTAAGGAGCGGGGGCGGGGTAGTGATGAGCTCCCCGTCGGGGTCAGGACCGGGGACGGGGGGAGTTTCCACCATCAGGGATCGGGGACGGGGAGGATGATCCCTGTCCCCGCCCTGCCCCGTTGCCATTCCTAGGTTAGTGTTGAACCTGCATAACACAAAATTGACACGGTGTTACTAAAATTTTTGTTTGGTTTAGATTGACAGAGCCTTAACACAAATTTCATCAAACAACACAATGATCAAGCAATTGTGTTGAGGTTTTATGCCTTGAAAGTTTCAAGGACTTTCTTGGAGTAAAAATAATAGCAATACAAACATAAAATAAAATAGAGAAAGAATTTATCAAAAATAAAATAAAATAGAGAAAGAGAGAAGAAGATGATTAAATTAAATGATTGAATAAACAATCAAATTACAAGTAAAGCACTTTAAAACTACTCCTAGCTAAGTTATAATTGCTCCTAGGCTAGAATAGAAATAGAAATCATGTCATGTTTTTGATTTGTCGGAGATACTTACAATAGAGCCATGATTGGCAATTTATAGAAAAATGTAGGAAAAAACTAAGAGGTGTCATGACAATGTTGAGTCCCATTTGTACTCCATCCAGCTAATCAAAAAGGTACGTAAAATAGGTTTGTAAGGCTAGAATACCTTTTGTTTTTCATTTAAGAAAATGTATTTTTGTCACCTATTTGGGAGTCAATTTAGTAAAAATATATAATAATAGGGTCAAATATATATATATACATATTTTTCAATTAGGGAAATGGAACCGAGTTGAAATCAAACATTTTACAAATAATTCATCCAATAGACATTAATTTCATTAAAAAAAAAATGTAATTTTGTCATACACTTGATATTCTTAATTAAGGGCGAATTTTTTACATGACGTTAACACAACATGAATTGGACTTGGACCGAAAATGACAGGACACATGATAACATGAAAAAATAAATGGGTTGGGTTAGTGTTGAAGTAATTATGACATAAGCCCGAAATGACACGACACGAATACGACCAACATGACATATGCCCACCCCAGATAGTGATATAGTGAACTCGACTATACCCTTATCCAAGTGTCGAGCGTTTGACATGGATAGTTCACAAATTTAGAGTACTTGTTACATGAGTTATACAATATATTGTGCACTGATGTTCTCAACCTTCCATTGTGGTAGCGATTTGGTAAATAGGAGAATAATGGGTATATATATAAATTAACTCTTGTGTTTTTTCAGCTGGTTGAAGATTTAACTAATCAATATTCTAATATGGCATTGACCCACTTTCCTTCTCGTATAACAATCCAATTGGCTAAAAAATTTATGACCAGAACAAAGTTTGGTTTAATGCATTTCACTAGGGTAAGTTTCTTGGTGGTAACTTAAGTCACCCCCACCCCCAATGAAGAGGCCTAAGTTTGAGTTTCTCCTTAACTTACGCATCAAAAAAATATGGTATGTGACAAATTTTTTAGTGGTATATGAATTGTCTTTTATTTTTGTGGGTAAAAACTATGTTACACGGATTCAGGTGCGGGTGCGTATCTAAGGGTCGGACACTTCAAAATTAAATATTGGGGATATGTGGATACGGATCCAAATTTGAATACAGGTACAGGGATAAGTTAAATAGTTATTTTTTAAAATATATTTATTATATGAAAATAACTTAAAAAAAGTTAAGGAATAACAAATTTTGTTAAAAAAATAACAAATAAACGATAAATAATAAATAAAAATTATTTTAGATATAAAATAAATTATATTATATATGATAAAATAAATTATTTTTATTTTAGACATAAAAAATATAATATTTATAATATATTATATTATACAATATTCTTTTGAGTGAATATTATATAATAGTTGAATATTATTATATATTATTATATTAATATCATTTATAAATAGAAAGCAGGGAAATAGAACGGAGAAGAAGAGAAGTCAGATTCAAAGAAGAAAAGAGAGAGAGAGAGAGAGAAGAGAAGATAGAAGAGACAGAGACAGAGAGAGATCGAGACCAAAGGGGAATTGAAGCCCTAGGGTGGAATCGACTTTGAGATGTTGGTTTTCAGATCTCCTTCGATTCGGTCTAGTTCGCGACTAGGGTTCGCACTTCGATCTTGCTTCGCGACTCGAATTGCTTCGCAAAGGTGAGTTTCAGCCCCCCCCCCCTCTCTCTCTCTCTCAACAACCCTTCTTTCTCCTCTCATGTCAGCCGTGTCTGAGAAAATCATGCCAAATACGACACATATCTCACACCTGCACCCGTGTTGTGTTGTGTCGTGTCGACACGGGTACTCTGCCCTAAGTCGGCGAGTCCATGTAACACAAGGCAAACATACACAGAAATTTAGTGGTATATGAATCATCTTTTATTTTTGTGGGTGTTCATAAACAGAAATTTAGTTTTTATTCTTTTTATTTTTTTGTGATTGTTAATGATCATGCAACTTCTTTTTTTATTGTTATTATTTTTCAGGCACTTAATAAGTTTTATGACAGGCATTTTGATGAAATAGTTGTGGTTACCACCAAATTGTTTAGTTTGAGCAACCTCTGTTTCCTAATTCCAAGCTTGGTAAATCATAAATTTTCTCCACCTTATATTCTTGGTTTATGGTGGCAGCTGAGAAGGCTCGTTTTGCTGAAAGAGATCCCATCGCTGCATTGAAAAAATACATGATTGACAACAATCTGGCCAGTGAAGCGGAGTTAAAAGCCATAGAGAAGAAGATAGATGAGGTAGTTGAGGAGGCTGTTGAGTTTGCAGATGAAAGCCCTCCTCCACCTCGCAGCCAGCTATTGGAGAATGTGTTTGCAGATCCAAAAGGCTTTGGTATTGGTCCTGATGGTAAATACAGATGTGAAGATCCAAAATTCACTCAAGGAACTGCTCATGTCTAACCTTTTCATGATTAGTCTCGTGTTGGTTTTCAATTCGTTGTTCTGTGTGGTTCTAAAATATACACTACTACCATGTAATCACTTTCTTTCTGTTCGTCATGTATCATTATATACTTTTATCAGCAGGACTTGTGACTTAGGTTGTGTCGTTATTGTCAATTTTGATCTAGCTCCACTTTTATTTGTCATTGTTCTTTGGATTTTATATTGTTTTGACTGGCAACCCAAACTTAGGGATTCAGTTTCACTCATCAAAACGGCGCCCTTCACCCTAAGAAACAAGCGTCTTCAAGCTAATATTATATAGGAAGGGATGATGGCATGGGATTTACTTGGATTGTTGCAGTGTCTAAGAAAATGGATTAAAATGTCCATTAGGCTTTGTCAAATTATCTTAAAGCATAGGAAAATGAGATACCTTGTGCGATTATGTAAATTTTCAATTTGGGGATTGTGTAGGCATGAAGATTGTTAGCATTTAGGAAAGAAGACTATTACATATCACCAACTTTTTTAATCATTTCATATCACCGGAGCACTTGGCAAGTTATTATTTGCTTTCATTAGGCCCTGTTTGAGAAGTGATTTTTTTTAGGATTTTGATTTGTTAATTAAATTATGAGATGAAAAAAATTAAATATTTGAAAAACATATGAAAATAAAAACAAAAAAAATAGAATGGTTGAAAAGGATTGTTTTTTACTTTCTTGTATGAATTGATTTTTCTCGTAATTTTTTTGATGAAAATCACTTGCCAACTGACTCTTTAATAATTATCTTCAAACAAAGAATACTTATTATGAGTACCCACACAGACAATGATACAATCACTCAGAGATTTGAAGATTGTCCAGTGTTCATCAACCTAAAATGATGGTCATTCCATGCTCCAACTAATGTTAGTATTGGAGACATCCTATACAAAAAATTGTGATTTTGTTCACCTAATGCAATACAATTAGTTAAAATATATCCTCTGCTAGGCCCCCCTTCAAAAGGAAATTTATACAGTGTAAGACCAATACACGCACACCACCGCAGAACATGTACATGTAATGTCTAAGAAGCAGTTGATAATTACATCAAGGAACAAAAAAAACCTAACCTTTGACATTATTGTTTATTACATAGATTGTTGTCACTGTCAAACATGCAGCATTAGTTTTTAGCATTATTACACCAGCAACAAAGCAAGCAAGATTTCAGCAGTATACTTTCCACAAAATTCCAACTAGAAGTGGAATGTAATAAGCAGCCTCAAGGGTACTTGCCACGAAAAAGGAAAAGCAATTGAGCTAGCAATTAGAAACCCCAACTGGATGAATTACCGAGTTCAGCACACAATACTACAGAGAATATGCCTCACAAAATGAAAGTTTGAAACAATCTTTAATTCTTGTTGAGTTCAATGCCATATGCATTCTATTGTCGCTGAACAGAGAATGAGCACATATCTTGGAAGCTTCAAATCTGTAGTTTGCCCACATACAACGACCCAGATTTCAACAAATTTAATTTGATTAGAACATTCAAAGTTTTTTTTATTGCCAATGACCAAATGAATCACAATTGTTCAAAACATATTTCACTTCTTATATATATATATAAATAAGATATATTTCACTTCTATACCGTGCAAATGAGTCAATAAATGAGCAACTGCCAAGGATAACTACACACTCACAAACACAAACACAAACCTAAAACAGCATGTATCTGCACTCCACTAGTCTCAATCAACACAACCCAGAAACTACAAAGCCCAAAACTAATTTTATGACCAAATTCATACCTGATGCATTACCACCATCTGTGGAAAATAATTACCCTAGTTATCTCACTGAATTTTTTTTGAATAATTCTATAATCCAAATCCCTGAAATTTAAAAAAGAACAAGGAAAACATGAACCAGTTAATGATCAAATTAACAAACTCAATGAACACGAGGAACTCCACAACATGGGAAGGAAGTGTCACTTGTCCTTGGTTGAGTTGTCTTTCATGGTTTGACTCTCTTATATATGAGCATCCATCTATCATATCCTTCACCTCTCCCAAAAGCAAGATCTCCATTGCCTTGGCTCCCACCTCTTCTACATTCAGTAATCTTGCCTAACTAAGAAGCACAGACACAAAACGTGACATGACATGAATACACGACCACACAAATTTCTAAAAGAAAAATGGTTGAGACCTCTAAAAGAGGAGCTCTAAATGAGCATTAATTTGTCTTTTACCTCTTTATGTTTTATCTTTTACCTCTCTTTCAATTTTTTTTTTTTTTGACTGCCAACTCACTAGAGTTGCGCTTTTAGAGCAGCTCTATTAGAGCTCTCTATCAAAACTGTTTTTAAAAAATGAATAACACGACACGACACGACACGACGTATAGCTTTATGTATTTATTATATATTTGAATATTACGTATTTGTTCTATGTCAAATATTTATTTTCATAAAATTCATCTATCTAGGACATGTTACTCCGCTTAAAATAAAATAAAAACGGGGCAACATGTGTCCCCAATGTGTCCATCGCAAGTCCCCCAGTGTGTCTGACTGAGGGAAAAAAAATTAAAAATTAAAAATTAAAAATAGGACAGTTCCTCTAGCATATATCCGTGTTGGACACTTGTTGGACACCAATACACGACCACCAGAGAGGTGTCCATCACGACGTATAGCTTTATGTATTTATTATATATTTGAATATTACGTATTTATTCTACGTCAAATATTTATTTTCATAAAATTCATCTATCTAGGATATGTTACTCCGCTTAAAATAAAATAAAAACGGGGCAACATGTGTCCCCAATGTGTCCATCGCAAGTCCCCCAGTGTGTCTGACTGAGGGAAAAAAAATTAAAAACTAAAAATTAAAAATAGGACAGTTCCTCTAACATATATCCGTGTTGGACACTTGTTGGACACCAATACACGACCACCAAAGAGGTGTCCATGCCTCATAGTAAGTGCCTACCATCTTCGCATAAGGCTAATCTCTCTTAGCCATTTCATAAACAGAAGTTTCTTCTTTTGAAAAAAAAAATAAAAATAAAATAGAAACATGAAGAAAGGGCAGACCCATTGAGTAAAGAGTTTATTTCATATTTAAGGCTGAAGTGGGGATGGAGAAAAGAATCCTTGCTACATTGAAAACTAAGAAAACCTGGCTCGGGAACAGCTTCTTACTAGTCAGAGGGTAATCGCAGGGAATAGGCTTCTATGGCACAAATAATTTTAAAAATAACTAAATAAATAAATAAAAAGAGAGAGAATATCTCACATGTCCTTCATGCCAAAAAACTTATGGCTGGATGTATGGACTTTCTCTGCATGTCTATTGAGTGAAGAACCAAGCCCATGCATCACCTCAGGAATGCACCGTTTAGGCTACTTCTTCATTCAGTCATTGTTAATGGGGTCTATTGATTCAGAGTCATGGGCTATTGTTAATGGGGTCTATTGATTCAGAGTCATGGGATGGGTAAATGTAACAAATGATGAATCCATTTTTTTCCAACCTCTATCAAAAACTTTCAATTGATATTTTTTCCCTCTTATCTTCGAAAAACGAAGACCAAAGGCCGCCTGGGATGCTGCAAATGGGAATGGATATGGATTACTAGGAACCGAACGCTAGGATTGAGTAGAACGGATTTCAAAGCCCCTGTTTAGTTTAGACAGAAAATGCCCTTTATTACTCTTTCCTTGTGCCTATTTTGCTTTAGGGAGACGGTCGACAGGTACAACCTTTGTAACTTCATGGGTGTTCTTGTGGATTGGCCAATTCTTATTTGGAAGGCTGTAAAGTGTGAAACTATGACAAGTATAATACAAGACCAATACAGGTTTGCCCGACCAGAAGCTAGTGTTTCAAGCTACAAGACTTCCACCCTGGATATTCTGTTTGCAACTATATAAATTACACTCAGTTTGGTCCCCATTTGATGAGGGTCTAGTGGGAGTAGATTGGGTATAGGCCTAACATTTGGCATAATTTGCACAAAGTGGCTACCCTTAGGTTCAAACCTACAACCTAAAGGTTAGTAAGGCGAATTTGCAACAATATACCAAATAAATTCAGATCTGAATAGAAAACATTGTTGCGGATTACCTTAGCTACTAAATTGCTTCGAACTTTGTTTTTTTAAAACACCACAGTAAGCAAATGAGAGGTTTGAAAATGGCTTAAAATTCAGGGAATCTTTCTATTGGGAATGTTTAATTAACATCCAAAAGAGAAATGTAAGACATCAGAAAATGCAGAAGCAGTCTTAAATATTTGTGACATGGCGGCCAATGACCTAGGTTATGAAAGTACTAGCTCCATCAATACCTCGTATAGGACTATAGTAGAGAAAAAAAAAACGACGCCCAAATAGTACACATTAATGTGTGCTTGGAAGAGGAATGATTGGGTACGCACCTAATCATTGAATAGTGCACAAAGTTATTGTCCCAAAACTTGAACCCATAAACTCAAGGTTATTAGGTCAATGTTTTAACATTGAATCGACAAGGCCAGAAATTAAACTTCTAAAAAAATGTCATCACTGAGTTACATAAAATTATAGCTAAAACTTTGTCTAATATTCTTGTTACAGTCAATGAACACTCATCTGAAAAACTCAGAAGTTATAGCTTCCACTTGCATATTAAAAAGAAATTCCATTTCAGGCAGAAAAATCTAAATCAGAGTTTCATTTTATTGAAAATAACCTACGCAGAAAAATACATCACCCAATGCAGGTTTACAAATAAATAAACAAAGCACAATTGTTTCAAAATAAATGTCAGTTTTTACACTATCTTAAATCAAGAAGAATCTGCTAACCAAAACCATACATCCACCACCACACCCTCAATTCCCTATGCAAATTCATTCCAAAAGCACATTAGTAGAAATTTCTTAGCTTCTTATGACAATATCACTTCAAAAACTATTCTCTTCAATTTCAAAAATTATTCCATGATTTAGAAAAAAAAATAGGGTTAAATAGAAAACAAGGACAGCACGATCCAGATAGAGATAAAATAAACAAATATAAGAAGACATACCTATTATCCATCCAAAGCCATCAATCAATAATTTCAAGTCACCCAAAAGCATAAGGAATCCATTGAATTGTGTAACTTGAAATTACAGACCAACCCAGACTCAGAATTGGGCTTTTATAAATTGGGCTTGAGATATTGCATCATCCAAACCTGAATAAAACGTGCACAACATCAAAGAATCAGCTGGAAAACACAACACTGTGAGAAACCAAATCAAGAGCCACCTAACATGATAAAGGAATGAATACATTGTAATTTTTAGAAAAAGAATGCTCACTAAACAGATGCATGGTTGGATGCTCAACAATTGGTCCACTTGGTCTGCAACTCCTTTGTCTAATGGTACCTCAGAGCATAGCAATTAGAGAGCCATTCATTGCACTGTTGCAGCCTTTCCAGTTACCAATTTGATGTCAGGACCAAAGACTTAGCCATATGTGAATTTAAATTTTTGAATGGAAAATGGATTACTCAATAGGCATGAAGTGTTTGGATTGAAAAGTAAGAAAGAGTATCCAAGTTTACAAGAAAAGTAACATAAATGAGCAAACATTAGAAAAATAAAATCCCCTAAAAGGAAAAAAACTCATATCATTGGTACATTTCCCATTTTTGTTGATCTGCCTCCCTCTTATATAAGATAAACAAACTAACTCCAGGATAAAAGTAGGCTAAACAATACAAAATTAAGAAGCTCTATAGACCGGGATCACAATTTAAGAGCAGCAATCGCTTCAGGTTTAAAATCGACCCTCAGACCCAACACTCTCCTCACCTCAGCAGGAGTTAGTCTCCAGGTCATCGGTCCTGAGTTCTCACCCCAGAAATCCAGTATCTCAGACACCTTTTCCAAGTTCAAGATCGTTGCCATCTGAGTAAGGCGAGCAAACTTGTCTCTAACAGTCCTTTGAGTCATGCTTGAGAAATGACTTACTAGAGCTCTGGCATCTCTGTCAAGCTGAAGACCACCAAGCTGACTGAACCTTTTTTGCATCATGATCACTTCAAGCCTCTTCACAATGAAGTCAATGACCAGATGGACAAATGAGTCATAATTGTTTGCAGTCATTAATGGCTGGAGCCATGCTACATTGGTCTCAACAGAATGAAGTAGCCTCTGGACCCATGGGTCATTCACCTCATTGTCTGCATATTCAGCCTCAGACAGCTCATAGCTGATGGTTGCCACACTGTCTAATATTGGACGGATTCTAGGTGTCACAGTCGCAACAAGTTGCTCCATTCCAACATTCAAGGCTTTTTTGAAGATGTTGCTCATCTCACCCAATTCAGACAAACAGGACTTCACCCTCTCTCTATCTGCCGGTGCAGGGAATACCTTACAAAAATAAAGTCAAATTATTCAACACAATTTAGCATATCACCTCAAGCAAGATGGAAAAAAAAGGGAACAAAAATGTTGAGAACCAACTTAATGAATTTATTTCAGTAAGCAAAAGTACATCTAGCATATCTCCTGCACAACAGAAACAATATTGACAGTGGGAATATTTATTTACAATAATAACAACTTTTAGGGTGTTGTTCATAAGATAAGACAAGAATAAGAAGGGAATTTTTTCAATAAATATTGTGATGATACAGTGTAAACTAGGCCACTAGCATCATAAAAATTACCAGAGAAGTATATCCTCTTAAGGCATTTATTGGAGAGCCATCTAAAGTAAGCGATGAACCCATGTTTTGCTTGAATACTTTGTTTTATAAATACAACACTTTTTGCCACTTTAAGAACCTAAGAAAAGTAGTGTATTGAGACTGATTGACCACAAAAGAGATCCACAATGAATTAAGGTTCCATTAAGGAAATTTAATATGACTTGTTTACGTTTAAATGTTCATTACAAAATGTATGCGCATCATTTGATGTAGGATCATTTGATTAAGGGAATCAAAGTGTTGGGGTCTTTAGGTGAGTAACTTGATGCTTGGAGCTATGTTCAAACTTGGTTTTATAAATGCATATTTGAAAAGGAACTTCTGTATTGTGTTTCAAGTTGTTGTGTTACTCTATGAGCTTGGGACCCATGGATTTACTTTGTTTAGAAATGTGAATGTAAAACTATTATGGGCCATTCTGAAGAAGTCATATTATTCGAGGGACTTTAATCTTACATGTATTTGTTATAATTGGACGTCCACATTAATCACTATATGTAACTTACCAACTCGTCTGGTTTTGTATTACCATGTGAGACTATTATTTGACGGACTTTAATCTTACTGGTATTTGTTATACTTGGATGTCCACATTAATCACTATATGTGACTTATGACCTTCTGTGGTTTGTATCACCATTTGAGATCACTTTATGTGATTTTGTACACCACTTCAGGATTTTGTACACATATGCCCATTTTGTTAGATACCAAGTTGATGTGTCAACAACATTTTTGAAATTATCAAGACAATGGCAGATGTTTTGCTTGGAAATAAAGGTACCACAATAAGTCACATCATTATGTATCAAAATTTTGTACAAAAATTATGTGAGTATATCATTACTCAGTATAATATGTTACTATGTTGGCATATGTTATTTCTCAATAAGATACACTATATAAGAGGAGGTCATATATAACCTTTGGTATTAAATTATAATGCATGCATCCTGAACTCAGCCCCCTCATCCTCTGGCCCTTCCTAATTCCCTTTGTTTCCTTAACAGCCTATTCCTCGAAAGTTGGTCAAACAAACATGGAAATCACAATCTTAACCCAACAACCACTAGTTAAATTTCTCGGAAGGTCACCAATAGAAATACCAACAAAGTTCCAAAAATTGTAACTAGTCTAAGTATCAAATGAGCCTCTTGAGACCATCATAATTGAAAAGAAATAAGCTATCAAATATAAAATCAAAGTTGCTTGCTCCATATTTCCTAGCCCAATAAGACTTCAATATTTAAAACATACAGGGGAGGGAGAGCTCGAGAGAGAGAAGGAATGAGGCATAAGGCTTAGTTCAATTCGGTTCGGTTTGGTTATGTATTGCTTCCACTATTGTTTATTTATTTAATGATTAACAGGTGCATCATCTCTTTGTTAATCCAAAAATAAAAAAAACAGGTGCATCATCTCTTCAATTTTGTTTAAGCCTTTGATGGCAAGCTCTATTGGCCGGTCACGTTCTCAATTCCATTTAGGGTGGGGCTGGGGTTGTGCCAGATTAGATCCTTCCTGCTAGTTATAATCAAGATAAATAATAGATTGCTTCGATAGAAAATTATATGGCATAGAGTTGCACGATATCTCACCATCATATCCACTAATCAACAAAACATTTGTATCGATATCTCAACACAGTTTGAACATGAAGGTCATCTATTAAAGACTGTTAGCAAAATGTAAATATGGCAATTAAAATCATTGAAGGGAAGAATGTAAGTCAGCCATTCTAAATTTTGATTGTGTGAAAATCATACCATGTTGTATTCCATTATATCACTTTGAGGACAGACACAACCAAGTTGAGCCATTAAAGAATATTGAATAACTAGCTTTCTCACACACACACACACAGATCACTTTAAAATTTAAATTTAGCAAAATTTGACATCGGAGGCCAAGGATAAAGTAAACAAAAGGAAAGAGAAGATTTTGCACTCACCTCTGCACAATGTTCTTCAATCTCCTGCCTTAGTTTTAGTGCATACTCACTACTAACATCCATGTTATTAAGAGCCGTAGCAATCTCTGTTCCAGTCTTTTGCACCCCAACACCACCCAAAAACAGCTTTGCACCAAGGTTGGGCTCCCTCATTTTCTGCTGCAATGCTTCATTATACTCGCTGCCCAACAAGCTCACTTCACTACTCAGAACTGCAATCACGGAGTTTATGTTTGAAGTAGATATTGACCTCCTACAGCAACTTTGCAGAACATAGAAGACATCATCCACCATGGAAGTGGTGAGGCTGTCAGGTACATGCTCATCGATCTTGATAGCTTTCCTCACATTTTCCACCATGAAAAATCCCTCCAAAATCACATAATAACCTGTGATGTCCTGCACAACTTTGCTAAAATTTCCGCTCCTAAAAGCTTTTGTGGCTCTAGGACCCAATTCAGGATCGACAGAACTCAAACCCCTGATCTTCGAGATCATGTATTCCGTATAGTCTTCACCCAATTGTGTGAGTGATAATATTTCTTCCAGGTACAACTCAATCTCCCTGGGGTTGGGTCCTTCAGCTCCAACAGAAAGCAAATTACTCTTATAAGAATTGATCTCTGAGGTTAATTTGGCTAACTTCCTATAATCCATGTACTTTTTTATAATTAGAGAACCCCTAGAATCACACTCCTCTTGAAGCTCACATATGGCATACACAATACCGTCTTCTCCACAAAGACTCCGCAAAATGGCATTATTTTCTTCAATAGCCAAAACAATGTCTTTGAATAAATTCGTCAAACAAGTAACAAAGTTTACCTGACTTTGGTTGGAGGAGGAGGAGGAGGAGGAGGATGATTGTTCCATGAGTTCGACCATTTGCTCAAACTCGAGCCTGGATCTCATAGCAATAACTTTCTTCAAATAGCCGACGTAGACTTGCAAACCTTCTTCCTCCAGGGATAGGGGAGAGAAAAGCTTGATGAAACGGAGAATGGTGGGATGGTCCCGCTGATCAACAGCGGCAGATAAACGCTTACGGACGATGGCTTCGAGTTGGTTCTTGGAGGACAAGAGCTGGTCCCGCTGATCGGAACCAGAATCCTTGTTGTACTTGGCATCGATGAGGAGAAAAGTCTGGACGAAAGAGGCGGCGGACTCGAAATCTTCGGAATCGAGGGCTTTGGAGACTCCATCGAGGCAGTTGCCACGGTCGACAATGGCGTCGATGCGGAGGAGGGTGTCGTTGACGCGGGCCTGGGCGAGATCGAGCTCGCGGACCTTGCCGCTGACCTGATCTGCCAGATCACAAGTGGAGCGGACCTTGGAGAGCATGTAGTCGGAGTCGGCCTTGACGATGTGGAGGACATCGGATGATTTCTGGAGGTTGGAGAGTTGTTTGTCGAGATCGCTGCGCTGGGAGAGGATGCTCTCCAGTTCCAGATCTAGGGCTCTTTGGTAGGCTATGCACTCGTGGAGAAGCCGCGTCATTGCTCCCACATCCGTCAACTTCCGCACAAATTCCAGTGCCTCCGGACTCCCAAATTTCACCACCGACGACGACGACGAGGAGTTCAATGTCTCTTGATCTTCCTCCGCCGCCGTAATTGATCCTTTAGGTGTGGATGACATTGCCGTTAATTTACTCGCAAACCAAGGAAGACGACGAGACGATAGAGACAGAGAAATTAAAGTCCAGGATCCGAGACCTTATAGGGGTTGATCTGCTGCTAGGGGTCAATCACGTCCTCTTTCGTCGTTCGGCATTGATTTCTTCGTTGTCGCCGTTGACCGTTGATTGCTTTTTCGATTGCTTTACATTCCTCGTCGATAGGTTATCTATTGCAATCAATTTGGGACGAAGATGAACCAAACAGATTATCAATTCATGCACAAATAACTGTAAGAAATAGATACCAAATAAAAATTCAAACCCAAAATGTAACAGAAACGCAACTACATCACAATTTCAACAGTTTTGGTCGAAACCCACAATGAATTCAACACAATGGAAGTTGGGTTCGGAGTAATTCAAAAATTATTTAGATAAAAAAAAGTCATTTTTCCACCGATTACAAGCAAAAGACAAGTATGATTGTTGTATGAGCTGCCAGAGATTGTAACCTTAAAGTCGAGATTCCGAGACCGATGAAGATAACAAAGATTTGCGCCATGTCTTGAAAGATTTCTAGAGAGACAGAGAGGAAAGGGGCAAAGAAGCAGAAGTAACGTTGATTGCCCAACTAAGAAGCAAGATTAATCTTTTTTTTTCTTTTTTTTGGGTCCTAAGTAAAAATTTGAATAAAAACTGTGTCTAATATCATGCATTTTAATAGATTTTTATCAAAATATCGGTGTTGACTTTTTGATTTTCGAAGGTTATTATTGTAGTTTTAACCTTGTCAGTAAGGGTTGGTTTGGAGTGTCCTAAAAAAGTACACTTTTTGTCTTTTTGTGAAAAGATGTGCAGAAAAGTAGAGAGATGATGTGATAGAAAAAAGATAAAAAGATGGATTATATAGGTTATGCCAAACCAACCTTAAGAATCAATCAGTCATTACAGGAGATTAATTGCCAACCAATTATCAAACGATTGTGTTTTAGTTCTTTCAGCCTCAATGAAGAGGACTTTTATTGGTGGAATGATCCAATTCAGCCTCGTAGAGGTTTACAGTAATAAGTTACTTAAAACTACTCCTATGAACAAAGTGCAATGCAAGAATTTGAAGTACAGAAATGTAAAAACTGGAAAGAAAATAAAGTAGATAAAATTGGTTCTTTGGATCTGAGTTCAGGGGTTCTTTATGGGGCCTTTTCTACAATTTATACTTCTCAATGATAACTGTCGAAATGAGTTTCTAACCGTCGAATCATCCATCTATGATCGCTGATCATGTTTCCTCACAATTAGCTCCTTTACGCCATGTCTGCAGTGGGTTTCTCTCTTGATTTTGAATTCAAATGTACGAGTAACTGTTAAAGCCACGTTATCTTGCATCTCTTTGTTGATCCAGTGCTATGTTGATCCACAATAACCAATACTAACTGCCACGTGTGTGATTACGATTAAAGATTTAAATTGTCTTCCCGTATTGCCCTCATCCTGCTACGTGTTGAACTATGATTAGCCTATACAAAATATGTAGCCAACATTACATCTCGCACTAATATACCCAATATTTGGTAATATTAGTGAATCAAGGTATTTTATCCATGTCTTAGAACGTGCATGGGCTTTACATTTTTCAGAAATGCAACCATCATTCATCAATGAAACATTTGCATTAAATTCTCTTTTATCCTTTGAACATTCCCACTATCTCAGTATTTGAAAAGACTGGTACATCTTTCATGGCCAAGCAAGCCTTTTCTTATCTCGATCAAGCATATGAAGAGTTGTTTGATAATGTTGGTCGTCCTCGAAAGAACCTTCATACATTGATTAGCCACCTTTACCTGCATTCCTATATTCACTATTACAAAAATAGTTAAAGATCACACTTTGACAAAAAAAAAAAAATCTCACTTTTATTAAAAGTGTGATAAAAAAAATTAGATTGATATTTTAATCACACTTGATTTGATTGAGTATGATAATATTCATTTTTTATGTCACTTTTCAATTAAGTGTGATTATATATATATATATATATATATATTTAATAACACATTCTAATTAAAGTGTGATTATATATACATTACTACTTTTTAATCACACTTTTTAAATAAATGTGATTAGATATATATTTTTTAATCACGCATTCTAATTAAAATGTGATTATTTATATATTTTTTAATCACACCTTCTAATTAAAATGTGATTATATATACACTAATACTTTTTAATCACACTTTTTAAATAAGTGTGATTATATATATATTTATATATTTTAATCAAAAATGAGAGAGATCTCCCAACGCAAAGGCATGGGAAAGTGTAGAGGATTAACAATTCGACACAAATGATGATTGGTTCGCTCTCTTAACTTGACTCCTCAGGTTCTGGTGCCAGCTTTCTCCAACCAGAAGCCCCAAAAGAGAAGAAATTGAAGCCTCATCCCACGTAGCAAGGTTTTGGTCTGAGGAAGACTTTCAATAATCATGTTTGCAAAAATTTGGATTAAAGAAGTGTGACAATAGGTTCGTAATCCAAATGGTTGCATGTCTGCAAAAGCGTCCTTGACATTGAATCACTACTACAAAAATAGATTAAAGTACCACTTCTTTTGTGTGATCTATGTTATTTATCACACCTTTTAAGTTTTTATTAAAGTGTGATCTTTGAGAGTGTGATTGAATGCAGGTCATTTTTAATCACACATTTAGTGTGATCTAATATATTTAGCATCACCACCTTTATAAGTGTAATTTAAAATATTTAGATCACACTTTTTAAGTGGATTAATAACATTTAGATTGCTGAAAAAAAAAATATATTACCTTAACTAGCTTTCTTATTTTGCTCTTATTGGAGATTCAAACCATTCAACCCTCTCACACCTATAACTTGCTACACATACACTCTTTCCATACACTCTATAAACACCATATCGATAATATATGCAACCATATATTATTTATATAGTACATAGACCCTATTAATATAAAGTATCATATTATAAAGAAAATTAATTTTTTAATTGAACATATAATTTAGTAAAATAAAATTATTTACTAGAAAAAAAAGACCACTTTTGCGCGACTAAAAAAATTTTAATTACAAATTCTATACTTTTTGGCATAACTAATTATTTTTTAGTCGTTAAAAAATCTTAATTCCCAGGATAAAATTACTACTCTTTGGCGACTAAACTTCTTTTTAGTCGCACCAAAAGCCTCACTTTTGGCTACTAAACAATCTTTTTATCTTCCTAATGCCTTCATGTTTTGCTACTAATTTTTTTAGTCGCCAAAAAAATCTCACTTTTGGCTACTAAAATTTTTTTTTAGTCGATAAAGCCTCACTTTTTGGCAACCATAATTCTTTTATGTCACCCAATACCTCAACTTTTGGCTACAATTTTTTTAATCCGCCAAAAAGCCTTACTTTTGCTACTTAAATTTTTGTTAAGTCGGTAAAAGCCATATCATGGGCAACACAATTAGATTTTTAATCATCAAAAACCTATATTTTCTTGGCTACTACAATTTTTTTTTAGTCGCCAAAAAATCTTTAATTTTAAGCTACAAGTGCTTTTTTTACGTCGCCAAACCTATACTTTCAGCTGACCAAATGTGCTTTTTTAGTCGTCAAAGATGCTTTTTCTTTGTACGTAGAGTGTGAGATTAATATATATATATATATAATATTATATATAATTACACTTATTTAAAAAGTGTTGATTAAAAGAAAGTATATTAACATTGAGTGTGATATATATAAAATCACACTTTAATTAGAAGTGTGAATTAA